TGATTGCAGCCATCAGATTTGCTAAATCTCTCGTGGTTGGAAAGTTAAAGTAGACTTAGAGTCCTCCTGTCGTGGTTTGACCAGTGAAACTTTGAGTCTTTTTATCCTCCGAGACGTTTTTCAGCTCCGTCTGAAAGAGGGAAATGGGAACTCTTTAGAGTTTTATCAATTTTTCTAGTCGTCTAGTCCTTTTTGTCGTCTTACTAATTGTGTTTTGTTTACTTCAGAGCTGTTCTTTGGAGGCTTTTAGCTCCATTTGTTTCCCTTTTATGCCTCTTAATGGATCGTTGGTGGTTTCATGCCTCCAGATCAGATTCACTCGGCTTCTGACCATCCATCAGAATATGCCCGGTGGTTTTTTGTTGTTTCTCCATTGGGTTTCGGATTCGGCCAATTTAAACTTTAGTTTTAGGAGTGAGATAGGAGTCAACAAATGGTGACTTTTATTGCTGGAGGAGAGGATCCATCATGTCGGATGGAAGTGACGTCATTGAGGAGGACTCACAGAAATCGTCTTTTTCTTAATCTAAAAGCAAAACGTCAATGTTTGGTGGGCAGATGATTGTAAAACTCTTCTGCCCTAAAGGTAAACTGTGATGTGGATCTGAAAAAAGAAATTCTCGCAAAAGTCCCACAAAAAATGCTTTAAATACTCAGTTTACTTCAACCTTATCCTGTTAATAATGTAATATAGCACAATAATGATACCTTTTAATATTGTTTTATCACCAAAGTGTTCAACTGAGAAAGATCAGACACATTTAAAATGTTTTAAAATATGGAACAACTAGATGAAAATAATCAAGTATTTTTTGTGAAATGATAACAGAATGATCCGTTTCCTGTTCTAAGGATGATAATTCTTTATTAATTACATGATTATTGCTCTAAATATGGCTGCTCCGATTCTTTCTGGTCATTTCACTCTGTCAGAAAGCTTAAATAGTTTGTTTTTGTATCTTGCTAAGATTTTCAGATTAAATATTGTGTACTTTATTTCTATTTCTATCCAGTTCAGAGCATTTTAAAACAGTTTTTTAAAACACTGGCCTTGTTAATATATTTTATGAATCTTTGGATCCTTTTATCTGAGATGATGGATCATGCATCTGATGACACAGCAGCACCTCCTTTTTAAAGGTTGGTAGCTTTAAAAAAGAGGGATAACCCCTCTGTCCTCGTGTTCATCCACACGAGCCAAAGTTCGAGTGAAATAATGAAATGTCACTTTGAGGGCTGCAGGTGCAAAGACCTATGGGTCGGAGCGGTGGGATGGTCAAGTGTTTGCCAAAGCAGAAAAAGAATGGCTTCCTTTTATTTAAATCCGGAGCCCTGGACCGGTTCTTATCCAAAGGCATTTAATTTAGGAGCCTTCTTAATCTAAAAGGGACAATTTAATGAAGCTTTTCGGCTCTTTTTGTTGGTTTGTTTGTTTGCTGCCTTTTGTTTTACTAAGAATAACCCAGAGTATTTTTTTTTGTGTCCGTTTTTGGAGCATAACATCTTTCAGACCCTTTGTTTGGGTTTGTTTTTTTACCCTTTTGAGTGGATTTTCTGCTCTGATTATTTGTCTTTGCTGCCCGTTTGAGCTGATTTGTGAATCAGGAAGTACCACCTGTTCTAGGGCTAACTTCAGATCAAATAAATAGAATATTAAACCCAGGATTTGTTGAAGCTCCAGCTTTGATATTTCAGAGGCCGGACCTATGGACGGGGGGGTTGTGGATCCTGGTCTGATGCATTTAGAGGTGCGTTTTCGGGACGTACAGCTGGCACTCAGACGGCGCCGCTTTAAATTTAGACGTATAGCTCCATGGCTTCTCCAGTTTCTGTGGGATGGACCTATGAGGGGTCACGTGTGGTTCTCGGCCTGCGCACTCAGTCTAATTAACAGAGTTCAGGGCTTTGTTGTGCCGTCATTAAATATTCAGCCGCTCACAGATTCGGGGGGGTGACGGGGCAAACAGCTCGCTTATCGGAGGCTCCAGAGCTGCTGTTAGTTAAAAGTAATCTCCCCGCTTCTGTTTCCACAAAGGTCAGAGTGATGGTGTCCGTCTTAAGCCGGGTTAAATTCACTGGCATGAATCAGGATGGCTGCTCTTTATTTTTAGTTTTATTTACGTACTTATTTATTTTACTTTTATGTTTAGTTTTATCAGCTGAGAGACTGAATATGTTTCTTTTATTTTAAAATTTCACAACAAATTAAGATGATACCAATGTTTAAGTATAATGATAGTTTTCTATCCCACAAATGACCTTTGACCTCCTAAAAATACGTCAGACTGCGCTGAAAGCTGATGGTTTCTCACAAAAAGCGTAAATGGACGATATCTTGAGGATTGTTTTGAATCGTTTGAAGCAGAGCTGATTTTAGGGCCTTTTTTTCTGCCATTAATTCTGATTACTGATCACTCACGTCCCACAATAAACCCTTTTCATTTCTCAGCCGGTTGTTGGAAAATCCAAAGATGAAAAGATTCATGATCCAAGAGTTTTTATTGTCATTGAAGCTAAATGTGATGCTCTGGTGTAGGCTGAACCGAATGAGTAGAAAAACTCAAAACAAGCAAGAGGCGATTTGCCAAAAAGCTAAATCAAAATGAAAATATGGAGACTTTATCAGTATAAAAACATGTCTTCATCCATTATGTTTTTAATACAATAAATAAAATTAAATAAAATGAATAAATAAACCAAAAAACTGATATTTTTAATTACCCACAGGGCCCCCTAGTGGTCATAAAGGGGAGCAGGATGTCTTCGGCTTAAAGGCCAAAATTATTAATATTACTTTTTACATTATTGTACATCTTAAAAACAAACCAATTCAACCTTTTCCATTTTCCCTTCAAAGGTCGCTTCACCGGCCTGTTTTTCTCTCGGGGAGAGATGTTATTGCTAATTGTTGAGCATTGCTGACTTTTGTTCCATTCAGGCAGAGATTTTGCAGAATTTAGCTTCGTCATTAAACCTGCTGCTGTGTCAAAAGCAGAAAAACCAAACTGAGTGTTGAGAAACAGCTTTTGTCAGCTGTAAATACGCTAAACGCTTCAAGAGAAAACTCTGGTGTTTTTTTTTTGTTTTCTTTAGGTATTTAATTCAAGCAGCAGGCTGAAATTAATTAAATAAATCCTGTGTTATGACCTCTCTGGTTCTACCTTTCATAATGTGGTTTTAAGTGTCTCCTCTAATTGTTTGGCATTAATTATCTCCTCCGTGCACGCTTTGCTCCGCACGCTGCTCGCTCTCTCCTCTAAGCCTCTGATCCGGGTTTTGTTTGCAGCTTCCTGCTCTAGTTTTTACAGCTTTCAGTTTATTGTAGCTTTAACAGCTTATCTAAGCTGTTTTACTGATGCCGGCGCATGAAATGAGGCAGAATATGAATTCTGATGTGTCAGCCTGCAATAGAAACTTAGCTAAACTTCAGAATGCGTAACTTTAGAGAGGTAAAGCGGGTAAAAAGA